CGTCCCTAGGGAGCATCCTTTTCTTTTCTGTCGATCCCTACTGACAGCACATCCGACGCTAAGAGCTCCCTAACTAATAAGTGGAGACGTTTATACACGTGGGAGCATGAAGGGGCGCAGTTGGCCCAAAGCGTGGGCTGTCCCTGGGCTGAGGGAGGAGGGGGTGCTCCCCTTTTCCCCGTGCGGAGACACGCTGGTGTCTCTGCAGCCCCCACCTGCACCAAGCAGGTCTGCAGACACGCAGCCCAAACCTCAGCATCCCTGTCCCGGAGAGCTCGCTGTTTCACCCCTCATCACGCCCTTCCTGACCCTGTCTCTCTTGCAGCTTCCTGAGGAGCCAGAGGTGAAGCCAGAGACTGCCCCCGTAGAAGATTTCGAAAGGACCCCGAGCGGCCGCATCCGCCGGACGTCGGCCCAAGTTGCCGTGTTCCACCTTCAGGAGATCGCGGAGGACGAGCTTGCCAAGGACTGGACGAAGCGGAGGATGAAAGATGACCTGGTGCCTGAAACAAAGCGGGTGAGAAGCCTTTATTTCACCTTTTTTACCTTGTGCTAGCGTGGCCCCAGCTGGCTGAGGGCTCACGTGCCTTATTTTCCATGCCTTAACTCAATTAGCTGTGATGGCAAATTTATTTCTAAATGAGCCCACCCAGCGCAGGCTGAGCCTCAGCGCTCTGCAGGCTCTGTCCGAGCCTGACACGAGGCAGCTGTGCCCGTCCTGCTGCAAAGAACTGAAATCTAAATGGAGCAAAAGGAGGTATTTTGTGGGCGATGGAGAGATCAGAGCCTGGCCCGAGGATGCTGTGGAGGGCTGTCAGTCCTGCTCCGTGCTCAGCCGTGAAGCGGGGGCTGGCAGCCGAGAGGAGTGCGTGAAGAGAGCAAAGTTCTGATCTGAAATGATCTCCCTTGCGCTGTTGGAGAGCAAAGATCCCCCAGGGCGGAATTTCCTTCCTTCTGTGACTCCTCCTTAATTTCTGGGAGGTGCTTCCCTGGAGGTAAAGGGCCTGTGGCGTTGCTGGAGCGAGGGAAGCTGGAGCGTGGTGGCAGGGCTGAGTCCTGAGCTTCGTGGAGGCATCGGAGTAACATGTTAAATCAAACCATCCTCCTGGCTCTGGGAGGAGGTGATTCCTGGGGATGTCCCAAAGCTGAAATTCCTTCCAGGAGTGCTCCTTCTGGACCATAAAAGAAATGAAGCAGCAGCAAATGACAAGCTTTTTCTGTACGAAAGAGAAAAAAGAGAGGGAGTCGGAATTTTTTAATCCTGTGATGGGTACTTTTTGGCCAGCACCGGGACTCAACACGGAGCCATCCGGCAAGTCTCTGCACAAGCCGCAGCCCATTTCCTGAGCAAGTTACACCACAGTTATGTGCCGGGTCTTTTCCTTGCTCGGAACAGTTGGGCATCTCTTGTCCATGGTGCTGCCGCCTGCCTTGGAGCAGAGCTGGAGGTTTTAGGGCTGGAACTGATGGCAGAGGTTTTATTTCCCCAATGCTTGGTGCTGTCGTCATTGCTTTCCAGATGACTTCAGCTGCGATGTGTTTGTAACATAAAAAAATCAAGCCTGAAGTAGCTGTTACGTTTCAAATACCGTGGGAGGAGAGGTGTGGTGCTCTCTTCTCCCCACTCCAAGCCTCAGCGCTTGCATTCCTCTCTTTTCTACTTAAATTGTTCCTCTTACTCTTGACTTTCGATATTGTAGAATCCTATTTTCTGTTTGGATTGAGGGAGCAGCCAGGAGTCTGGACAAGGGGCCCATGTGCAAGCTGACGTGGAAAGGCATTGAAAAGGTCTCAGCCGCTGGTGTAATTGCTCCATGAAACACTGCAGTGGTGGGTTTTTTTATGAGTCGTTTCTTGTGTTCGGAGTCTGACTGTTGAAGTTTAATTGAGGCCCCTTTCAGCACTAAAAAACGCCGAGAATTGCTGTGAGGTTGGCGGAAGCAGGTTTGCATTGAAGATGAGCAAGGCAGGAGTTGGACCAGCTCCCAGGTGGCAAAACGAGGCTCTTGGGCTGGAGGATCAGGACCTGGGGCCCTGCACGGGCTGTTCTCCCGGTCTGGGCTGGCCACAGAGATGGATCTGAATCCAGATGGATTTTGGAGGAGGTCAGCACAGTGGGCGAGTACATACATAGCTGTGAGCGTGCCTGCGGGTACGTCTTGCAGTGACTGTCACGTTCCCTTGACAACACTCTAAAATATAATCTGTTCAGTCTATGACATTTTTAATTTTTTTTTCTCGACGAGAGGTGCTGGAAGGAGGTGGGAGGCAGGTTCTGCCCGGGGAGGCTGGTGGGAGCTCGCTGACTTCAGCACGTTTTGTGCTTCTCTGCTGAGCAGTAGCGTCTTGCATCGCTCAGGACTGGGCTGTGTTTACAAGTTGCTTCGGTTCAGGGTGTGAAAAAAAAAAATCAAAGAAAACAACAAACCTCCTGAGAGCGAGCGACTCAAAACATGCCGGCAAGCGCCCAGTTTGACCCTGTTACAGCTCCAAAAATAGCCCTTCCCTGAGA